CATCGTGCCCCAAAAAACATAGAAAACGGAGGAGTAGTGTCCCCCATCCGGGCCCTTCGGGGTTGGAGAGGGATTCTGCGACCTCCTGTCGCAAAACTTGGTGTGCCACAGACCCACGCTGTAAACGGACATGGTTCCAAAACCTCACAACCTGCTTGAGAACGTGGTAGTGTAGGGGTAGCTGCGATAGCTCTGCGAACAAGAGGCGGTGTGTTGGTCTGGCAGCTCCTACAATTTGCCGCATGAAAGATATCTGAAGCTGCACTGCCCTGTCCTTTAGGCACGCCTCAAAGGGCCCCTCTGCAAGGTTATTCGCATCACTCCGCTTCCTGAGCCTGTCCGAGACCTCAGCTAGCATAAACGGCCCCCACGCTTGACAACCATACAACAGTATTGCTCGTACCTGCGTATCGAAACACCTCATCCTCACATCTGGGGCGAACAACTTTAGCTTATCTAATTTTGCACTCAACGCGAACATAGCTGCTCTAGCTGTGTCATACAACTGCTGGCGGCAGGCCCAGAACTAAGATCTAACACGCCACGCAGCGCCTTGATTGGTATCGCTCTCCTTGGAACCCTCCTGGCCTATGAGAATACCAAGGGTGAATGGTCTTCGTTGTCATATTAAGTTCTGCGGAAGGGGGACGGCAGCAGAGAGCAACGCTACCAGTGGGTGATCCGATCGGATCGGGTTCACCATTGCAGCGATAATTGTTGATTTTCAAACTGGGAGCTCCAGCAGCGGATGAGCTACACCATACAACATCGTGAATGCGTTTAAGTTGATGTAACCGGACGAATGGATTGAAATGACGGAGAGCCGTGGGCTTGCTGCAGGGAAGGGGGGCGTGTAGGTAGGGGGTGGGAAGGGGCGGGATTGTGGGCGTGGGTTGAGGAGAGCGACGGAATGTCGTCCTGCATTCGTACGGAGGAGGAAGTGGTGGAGGAGGAGGTTAAGGAAAAAGTCATCAAACATGCGTGGCGTTGCTCGTATGCTACACGACCGGAGCGTCAAGAAAGCTCCGCTGCAGTAGGACAGATAGATATTTGCCTCTTTGCTCCTTTTTGCTCCTTTTTGCTCTTGTGTTGTCATGTACGTCGTGCTGTACAACCTGTTGGTTGTGAATTTAAGGTTTGATGCGCTTTCCGCTGCGACCGTGTGCACATTGTGTGTGTCTGTGCATATGTTGTACGTTCACTGGCAGCTGGACCTTTTTGAGAGGCCGCTGGTCTCACATAGCGAGCACCACCTACATACCTCGTTGTCACACCTTTGGACAGTAGCACAACTCAAGGTGTAACAGACACACACACAGATTTACTTGCACGCCCGTCTCCTCCCGCTCGGGGAGAGTGCTTCAGCGATCCCACTGCCCAGTATCAGATCCAGATCAATATATAACAGAACATACACTTTGTACACATACAGAGGCACACATAAAAATATATGGCCACTTCACCTTCCTACGCTTCCGGACGGCGAGACGATTCCCTACATACAGCGCGCAGTCACCACCACTGCATCTACCGCACCAACTGCTCGTCGCCACTACTCCAGTCGGAAACAACTCCCAAACCACCAACATGAAGACGGAGACCTTACGGTACTTAGTAAGTTCTCAGTAAGCTCTTACGCTACTCATTTTAAACTGCCTGAAGTCAACCAGAATGCATCTGCGGGACGAACTTATTTCAAACCGCAAACTCCACTTTTCCATCCCCCCATGCCTCCCTCGGCATCTACACACTCTCCTACGTATGCACACCCCGGCCATCAGTAGTAAGCACGGCGGGGGTTACCCAGCGGGTTGGGGCGGTACTTGTAACCCAGCATCATGCGCTTGCGGTAAGCCTCGTACATGTCGTCTTCTGCGCTCGCCTCACCGTGGGCAGCCGCGCCCAGGCCGCGAGCCTCACCCGCTGCCGGTGCCGCCGCGGAAGAAGTGGTTCGGTGGGTTGAAAAATGATTGGCTGGTCGAGGCTCTGGTCAATTGGCGTTTGTGAGCTCACCCGAGGAGCGAGCCGGTCAGCTATTGTTGATCGTCTTTTTTGTCGTTCACCTCGCGTCTCTTAGGCCACCCTCCACCTCCCGACCCTTATCTCTCCTCTCTCCCTCCATCCTGGCTTCTTTTATCCATCCTCCCCTCCATCTTCCAATAACCTTCCGCTTTTCCCCTTTTTGCCCCCTCTCCCTCCCCATGCTGCCACCAGACTCACCCATGGCCGCCCATGAAGGTGCTGTACGACAAACCCATGGCTAACCTCTTATGTCATTTCGGTGACCAAGGCTGAATCTTGTCCCCTTCTAAACCAACGCGGTGACGGTTTAACTACTACAGACGATATGAGGACGCCCTAGACAAGATACGTCACGAACCAAAGCAAAACAAGCCGAGAAAAGGAGGAGAGGTAAAGCTATATGGCCAGTACACCAGGAGCGGGATGCGTGAGGTCCCAATCCACGTAGAGGAATTGCGACGCTGCATCACAGGACTCAACCAACAACCAACTAAACCCTTCTTCCTGCTCCTCGTCCTCTTCCTTCCAAGGGAAGAGAGATGCGTCCCAAGAGGGTGAGGGTGACGCACCCCCGCTAGGAAGGTACCTGCTTGCGCCTGCTTGCGTGTGCGTTGTGTTGCGTGTGTTGTGTTTTTCGTGTACATACATACATCATGTACATACATACATTTGAGGAGTGTTGAAATGGGAGGTGGCCCCCCATCATATGGACGATGTAGGACGTGATCAACTTGCGAGCTAACCAGGAACTAAGTTGATGCGCCGTTGATCCGCTAGATTTGGTTGGATGCTGGTGGTGAGTTGCCAAACCCAACGAATACATTCTGAAGTCGGATGGGGTGACGTGTTAGGGTGCCCCTCTAGCAGGGGAGAGCAGGGACTGCCCGGGAAAGGGGCCGCTGGCGAAGTTAACCACCCTGTAACAACATACATACATTGGGAAAAGGATTGCGAATTCCATAGGGAAAAGAACGAAACAAGGGAGGCAGATATACAGCTGCCGGTTTAGAAGCAGTGAGCGAAGTGAAACATCCTAAAACTGCCGGCGAAGCTTCTAGTGAGCTCGGTAACGTGTTCGTGCATACTCTTACAATAGTGTCGATAACTAGATTCGCCAGGAAGGGCACCAGTAAGGACGCGTCCTCTGCTTCACGAAGCAGTGTGGAACCAGCAGGAGAACTGTATGATGCCAAAAAAGATGACGAGAAGAGAAACCGCCTAGCTGCCGTTTGAGAGGGCACGTGTGGAGCCATGTGTATCCTGAGTGGTGGTTTTTGGGGGTGGGATACGACGACGCACAGACAATTGACGAGGGGTAATGGCGGGGGACTTTATTCCCCCTTGCTGCAAGCCCACACAAGTCCCCATCCCTTGTCCCCCTCCTCCTCCTCCTCCAACATGACCACACAGCTTGGTACCTGCCGCCTGCCCCCCCCCTCTTTTTGTCAAGTCAGGCTCGTCCAACATATCATGTTGTGCACGATGTAAACAAAAGCCATGTGATCTATGGGTGCTACAAAGACTCAGGCTTGAGCCAACGGACCTCCCAGCAGTATCGTGCCTATGCTTGGTCCGATCTAACCGAGGTGCCACACACATGTACGATGAAATCAGATCTGATATGGGCTTTCCACGCTTCGAACATATGAAGGACGCTATGAAATGGGAACCTGAACGCCTGGCAAGGATGCTGGAACGTATATTGTCTCACCGCAACTCTATCGTTCCCTTTGGTCGTTAGTATACTTCATCACTTGTCTCGTTGGAAGTGCGAGGTAGGATGGTGCTTATAGGCGATTTGGCAGCCCTTGAGCCCTCGGCTCGTACTAGGGTGGTTTGCAGGTACGGGGAACGCCCCACGACCATGTAACAACAACAACAACAAGACATGCCCGGCAAGTGGTCAACATTGACCTCTACAAGCGGTATCAAGTATAGCTCGAGACAACGATACAATCTGAAATGTGGAAAAACAAAAACATCCGCGCCGAGCGGATGACCACTGTATCTGCAAGAAACACCAAAAAAGACTCCACTGTGCTCCATGAACTTATGTATTATGTCTTGAGTGGGTTGAGGTACGATGGCCCTTCATTCTCGTCAGGTTGATGCGTCCAACACACCGTACGACATCCGAATGTAAGCAACTCGTAAGAAAACACTTGGCCGCAAGGCCGTCAGGCAGCAAAGCCGCCGGCACCACCATATATCCCCTGAACTCTACATGCTATTTGAATCCAAATAGCTACTATTACAGTAGGTTGATCTAAATCGTCCTAAATCAATCGTAATGTATAATTATGCATTATGCAATACTTCATGTACAAAATATCGATTGGCGCCTTCTGAGGCAAATAGCGGCTTCAGCGATACTCGGACGAAGTTCTTCTTCGTGCCGCAACGGGATATAAGTTGTCTCGAGATCTCTATCGAGCAACAGCAACTGTATAGCTAACAAGTCTCTATATACGTGATATCTGGAAAAGAAGATAATAGTAAAGATAATACTTGACGACGGCAGTTACCAAGCCATATTTCGCTCAATTCGCTCGACATGAGGAATGTTATTCCACATTCCGGTCTTCGAAACACACGCTCTTTTCCTGACATCCCCTTTTGATGTCCCCTCTTCCCGCTCCCTCGCGTACTGTGATACTGACTGTACTGCCGCCCGTGCTTTCCCGTTGCAGCACCATCCCATCCCATCCCATTCTCCTTCCCTGCTTAGGAGTAAACCGCCCCGCCCGCGACCACCCACCCATCACGCACGCACCACGAGCCCATCACCTAGGCGGTGCGATCCCCCCCAGCCCATCCCACCCCACATCACCGCAAGCGTCCTTCTCCCTCTCGCCAGCTAGGTGACCTTTAATACACACGAAAGCATCGATCGCCAACTCCCCAGCAGAGCACCACGGCCGTGCCGGCTCACAGCGTCCGGAAGCTTCCGTTCGCGAGACAAGTAGGACACAGGAACAGCTCCCCTCCTTTGATCAGCGACTCCAAGGCCGCCTGGCTATCGTATGACAGCGGCGTCAGCTTGGTGGTGTCGCCGCCGGCGCCGCCAGCTCCGCCGCCGCCGCATGGCCGAGCGTGCACGCACCAGCCATGGCGGCCCTTGAGCAGATTCCGTACGCGGCCGCCGCTGCCGCCGCCGCTGCTGCAGCTACCTGCGTTGCTTCGAGTGAGAAAGGACTTTCGAACCATGGAAATCTGGTGGTCGACGCCGCCGGCGCGAACGAACGCATCGTGCAGGGCGGCATGCTCCCGTCGCAGCGTCTCCAGCTCCGCCAGGGCGGCTTCCCGTCCGGCACGTGCCTCTGCGATCCGCCTTGTCTGCGCCTCCATCGCCTTTGCGTGACTAGCAGCGGTCTGAGGGAAGCGAGGGTAGCGGAGGTAGCTGGGATCAAATGCTCGATGATGCTCGCAGATGCTGATGGGGCTGAGATGACACAGCGTCAGTTGTGTGGTGTGTATGCGCGAGGTGAAAAACGTGTGTTCCACTTGACAGGTGGCTGCGGAGGTAGCGGGTTGGAGGCGAGGGGGGAAGGCAGGAGTAAAAGGAAAGGCTGTCCGTTACCGCTTGCTGCTTGCTGACGTGCGCACCACCGCCGGCCAACTGACGAGAACAAGCAATAGAGGTTAATTGTGGAGAAGTGCAAACTGCGCAAGTGCAAAGGTAACACAACTGGTTGGGCCGTACAGCCGTACGACTTTTACCAACCACGCCCCAGTGGACTCGCTCACTCACCCACCCACTGGTTGCGTGCGAACCTCTTATAATAATAATGATAATAATAATGTGCGTGTAAATGGACCGAGCCACGAGAAGTACATACAGAGTATGTGTGTGGGTTGAGATGAGATGATAAAGGACTTGCCGTCATCGTCGTCATCACCGCCACCGCAAGCTCTTTTCTTGTCTTGGGGATCCCTCCCCCCTCCAGACCTCCCTTCCCGGACACCCCCAGACCCCAGCACCGACCCACCTCATCAGCCTGTTTTTTAGCGACCATAACTGCCTCTCGGTGGGATTCAGCGATGCTCTTCAGTGTGTCGTAACGCTTCTGGAAGCTTCGAATCTCCCGGGACTTCTCCTGGCTCTGCACACACAGGGGCGGGAATGGGGCGGTGACGGCGCGAAGGAACGGCGCGCCACGGACTTGAAATAGGAAGCATAGGTCGCAAACCTAGGACGCATACTTCTAGTACATCAACACGGCAGTGCGCCGTGTAGCAGTACGCCGCCAAACCAATGCGATGCACCCGTGGCACGCGATGTGACGGGTTAATGCTTAGCGACGTACCGTCGTCCAAGCGTCCCATGTACTAGAAAATAATAATTTCATAAAACAATAGATCGCATATTCGGTTCATTTTAGGTCTGTCGTTTGGGGACAATGTCCGGCTTAGAATTACCCTTCTCTGTCAGCAGCCAAGCACCCCACATCCCTTCGCATCACCTCGGCTAGCGCAGCCTCCCGAGCCGCCTCCACCCGGCCAAGCTCCGACTGCGGAGGCGCGCACAACAAGAAGAAAAATAACGATAACAACAACAACAACAACGACAACAGCGGTGGCGTGGGGAATGGTGGTAGGGAGGGGATCAGACACCGGGTTGTGACGGCAGCGCGACGTGTGTGCTAAGGGGGCAAAAATCACAGGAGGTCAGAAGGATTTGACAGACTAGCAGCTGGTTCCTGCGATGACGAATGTACGACGTTTGGCGCCGTGCGTGTGGTACTGCACATATGCATCGTATGTACGGGTCGTACCTCGAGTCTGCGAAGCTCCAACTCTGCTTTCTCTGTGATGCCTTGGTACTCGGAGGTGAGGTCCTGTGCGCCATCGAAGGGGGAGGGGGGAAGGGGGAAGGGGCGAGAGGGGACAAAGGTATAGCTTACACGGACACGGCAATGTTTAGATGCGGTGGAAGGCTCCCCCGAGGCCGTACACCACCCATCGTGGTTGATAATGATGTTTTTTTCAGCGTAGTTTTTCTACGTTCGTTGCCATACACACACGCGTCGCGGTGGAATTGTGCGTGGAGTGGTGATGATGGTCGTGGTGATAAGTTCCGGCTTTCCTCAGGCAGTCGCGGTCTCCTTACTCGCAGGCGAAGAGTGGTGAGCTCCCTGGTCCGGGAGAGCTTGGAAATCCGTTGCTGGTATTCAGACCTCTCCGCCTCCAGAACCTGCACAGGTAAAAAGTTTCAAACTTTTAGAAGATGCGGCGTGGTGAATGCCTTTACGGCGTTTCGGCCTTGGGTGATGATTCCCGTGTACGTGCGTTCATTAAGCACGGGTGCAAACCAGTGCCCTGTCGCTGGCCTATGTCGCATTTTGTAAATGTTTGAGGTACATCCAGCTGAAAGAAAAACGTTGTTAGGTTACCAGATGGACTAGCGTTGGTAGACAACACGTTTCCTGAAGCGAGCTCAACCCACCTGGATTTGCCTTTGTAGGTCGCTGACCAGGTCACCAGACGGCGGTAATCGCGCCGCTAACAAGGCCTGCGGGAAGTGAGACAATGTCCATTAAAGCTGTTGTATGAGTAGGACGAATAGTGTACAGTACGTCCGGCAAGCAAGCTATGTTACTACATTGCAAACCTTTTCTGCTTCTGTTAAGCGACTCCTTAGCGCTTCCGCCTCGGAGCTGTGGGTGCGCGCAAGGTCGACGATGTCGTGCAGGATGCGCCGCAAGTTCTGACGCTCGCGCTCCAGAACTGCTATTTTCTGAGCTGTCTCTACGGAAGAGTACTTCCGCCCAAAGCATGACACCTGAGGGGGCGTTATGTCGTCTCAATTACTGAACTGGGAAAGGTACGTTTGTGCAAAGGCCGCAAACCGCCGGCTGTAGCTGCCTAATTGCCTACCGTAGATGTAGAGCTTTCAAGCGCACCGATGCATGAGTCCAGGTGCTCGTCGACGATTGCAGCTCTGGCTGACAGCTGTAGGGTGGTATCGTCTACAAGGTCAGGGAGGTCCAATTACGAAAGAGGGACAGAAAAGGTGGAACGTTAGATTAATTACGCCATGCCAATTATTCTAAGTTGAAAATAAACGTTTACCCTAAATTTGCTCTGGCCCTGGCGCGAAGCGTTATGCTTCGCGACGCTCGTTGCAGCTGCAGCCTATAACATAATCGACTGACAGAAACCCCCACCTGCTTTTCCACCAGTACTCCTCTTGACCTCCACTATGGTCTCCCCTTCAGGCTGCAGCATTGTAAAGGACTGAGGCATTTCGCGAACAGGCTTCAGCTCTACGTGTTCTTTTACAACCTTGTAGTATTACAAAGGTTTCCACTAACTATTACTATGGCTCCCTAGTACGATGTCATGGAAGAAGTAAGGAGGACTACAGTCTTAGGTTCTGTCGTGCTCCAGGGTGGGCGACGCTAACGGCGAGGGTCTTGCAACCCAATGAGGCATGAGCGACCCTGGTCCTGTTACACCACTGCTGGCTTAGGTAACCATTTGTATGACTCCTTTCACTCCCTAACGCATGGCCTTGTCATTAGCGGGGCCTTTGGGGCCAGGGTCCCGAGTCCCCGGCAGCGGGGCGTTTTCATGTGTAGGGCGGGGGCTCCCAAGAGGAAGGTCATATTACAACAGAAAGGTGAGCTCACATGGGGCTGATGGGTTCGGCTCACAGTACTTTGTCCTTAAGACCCCCTGACCCCAGGCGCTCCAATTCTCAGCGTTATTTTAACCGAGTAGCTTTAAACGCGATCATCCTTACATCTTAAATTCATATTCCTAAAGCAGTTGTGAAATTGCAGCGGCCTTAGCATATCGCTGTTGTTACTGCAGTCACTGCTTATGGTGTTATTTGTCTTATTTGAACTTCCACTGAAACCTAGCGCTTCTACGTATGCGTTGGATAGGCCGCGCATAACTGCGGCCACTGTTTCGAGGCAACCTTGCTCCATGCTGCGCAAACGTTTCGTGTAAACCGCAGGCTCTTCGAGATGGGCGCAAAGGGATTCTTAACTTCTCTATATCTAGGTAAATGAACGCGCGCATCTGATCCAGTTTTGGAAGGAAAACGCGTACAGCCTTCTGGCTGGTTGTAACTGGTCGATATGATCGTTTGGCTTGCAGGGATGACCAACTTGCTCGGCCAGAGCTTGAAGCTGATTCAGGAAACATCACACCACCACAGTCGTCAGGCTTTCCGGCACAAATCTCACAGGCATTCCTGTCCGGAGTAGCCTTTGCGACGAGCGCGTTCGCCCGCACTGCTGAGCCCAGGGTGAGTTTCATGCAGAGGAGGAAAACCTGGAGGAAAACCTGGAGGAATAATTGTGTGAGAGGCTTTTTGGTCATCGGCGGAAGAGAGGGCATCGGTGCGACATAGTCTACGGCATTCTCCCCTCGGCAGCGTGGGCGGCCGGCGGCAGCTGTTTATTTCCCGAGCACAAACTCACCCGCACCCTTTCCCCACCTCCCCAAACTCAACCATTCCATTGACATGTTTCATGACTGTAACACCGATAATATAACACCGATAATCCATTTCCCCCATTCGATTTGTTGCTGCGTTTGAGGTTTGACGTTTAACAGCGGCTTTCCTCCGCTGCTTTTTCCCTTTAAAATTTCACCACTGCATTGCCGGGCTACGCCAACTTCCCTGCTTCAGGCTGCGCCGATGGCGCTGCTGGCGACCCTGGCCGCAGCCGTCACAGCCGCCGCTGCTAACGCCACCTCGCTGGCGGAGACACTGCCGCCGCCGCTGCCGCCAGCAATGGACCCGGTTATCACTCAGCTCCTGATGGACCTCCAGTCCGCTGATCGGCCGCCCACAACTACCACAACTGCCGTGACTAGCGCCGGCGTCGCTGCGGCGAAGCCTGCGCTGGCGATGACGTCCTTGGGCAGTACGAGTACGGGAACGGAGGCAGCGGATGCAAGAGCCATGATTGAGGCCGCGCTGCGAGCCGCTGATAAGCTTGTGCTGGCGGCCCCGGACAGTGCGGACGCCCGGCGTGCGGCGAAAGAAGCTGCGGCGGTGTTGGCGGGACACCGGCATGATGTTACCGTAGCTGAGGCGGTGGCGGCGAAGGCTGCCGCAGCTGATGCCACCGCGGGCGCAGCGGAGGCGGTGCGGACGGCGACGGCGGCGGACGCGGCTGCCGCCGCCGCATTAGCTGAGGCCCGCAGTGCGTCTGACGCGGCAGAGGTGAAGGCGGCGGAGGCGGAGCTGGAGGCCGCCTTTGTGAGCGGATTGACGGGTGTAGACGAGCAGATTGTTGAAAATGCCGAATTGGCAGCGGCGGAGGCGAAGGCGAAGGCGGCGGAGGCGGTGCGCGCGGCAGCTGATGCGGCGGAGATGCGCGCTGTCGCCGCGAAGTCGCTTGCTGCCGCTGAAGCCGCAGCGACGGCAGCCAAGGCAGAGGCCGCCAAGGTGATTGATGCCGTACGATGGGCAGAGGCCGGCGACCTGATTGAAGCGTTGGCGGCGACGGATGCAGCTAAGTCATCGCTTCGCGAAGCAGCCGTCGCGGTGGCGGATGCCGAGGTTGCTGCCAAGGCCGCCGCGGCGGCGGCGGCGCAGACGGCCGCTGCGGAGCGTGCGGCTAAGGCAGCACTTTCGGACGTCAATACCGCACTCTTACAGGTGCAAAATGCCGCTGCTGCAGCTGCGGCTAGCCTGACAAAGGCAGCACAGCTCGGCTTGGCAAGCCAGACACAGCTGGCAGCTGTCGTAGCAGGTGCGGCCGTCACCACAGCGGCTGTTGTCGCCACTGCCGTCAGTCGTAGCAGCGGGTCCAAGCCGGCTGCTGCCGCCGCCACCGCGGACACAGCAGCAACCACGGCCGCCGACAGTGCTGAAGGGCAGAAGCGTCCAGCGGATACCGCAGCGCCGTTACCGCAGGCAGCAGCAGCGACGGCGACGGCGCCGCCGCCGCCGGTGCAATCAACGACAGGGGGTCCAGGTCCGGCAGCGGCGGCAGAACCCCCTGTGGAACCTGTCCTCGCCGCCGCCGGTCGAGGTTGGCGGTTCCGTGGTGAATCCAGCTCCCGAGCTGTCGGCGCCTGCCGAGGGCAGCTCCTCGGGCAATATCTTTATGGACGCGCCAACAGCAGCACGTGATGGGGAAGTTCAGCTGGGCGTTGCGGCGACTGCGGAAGCTGAAATGGAGGCAGTAGCGGATCCCGTTGCCGTACAATTCCCTGCGGTTGAGCTTACGGCCGCCGCCCCTGGCGAGGACGCACCCGTCGTCGACGTCGACGGGACCGCTGAGGAAATGACTGCCGGCGCTGACGCCACTGCGCCGGCAGCGGCGGACTCGGAAGTGACGGCAGTAGCAGCCGTTGACCCTGACGCCGCTGGCGAGACGGCTGTAGCGCCGGCGTCAGCAGAGCCGCCTGCTGCTGAGACGGAGGAATTGGTGCCGGCAGCGGAGCAAGTTGTGCCTAATTTGGAGATGTCTACAGATACAGAAGGGGCACTGGTGTCGCCGGTTGTAGCACCTGCTGTTGCAGAGGAGGTGGAGGCGGTGGCTGTAGCAGTCGACGTCGCAGGTGATACACCCTCGGACGAGGTGTCGCAGGGGGCTCCCCTGGAGTCGGATCTGGCGGCCGCTTCTCTTGACGACACAGCGGCGGCGGCGGCGGCGGACTGTACGGTGACTGCGGATAACATGGCCGCTGCGGCGGCGGCCGCGGTGGTGTCACCTCATGAAGGGGCTGCGCCGCCTCCCCTGCCAGATGTGCCAGCGGTTAGTGCCGTAGAAGCTGATGCCGTATCGGCGGAAGCCGCCGTACCTGATGCCGTATCATCACATGTCGTCGCAGCTGGTGCCGTACCAGCGGACATTGTGGCAGCTGATGTACCCGCAGACGTGGGTCCGGTGATGGGCCCGGTGGCAGCTGATGCCGTACAAGTTGAAATTGTTGCAGGTAATGCCGTACCAGCCGATGCAGTGTCAGCTGATGCCGCACCAGCGGGCGTCGAGGCGGCTGATGCCGTACAAGTGGACGAGAAGGCGGCTGACGCCGTCGCTGCTGATGCCGTACCAACGGACGCCGTCGCAGCTGATGCCGTACCAGTGAACGCCGTCGCAGCGGACGCCATACCAGTGAACGAAGAGGAAGCCGATGCCGTACCGGCGGACGCCAAGGCAGCTGATGCCGTACCAGCGGACGCCGTCGCACCTGATGCCGTACCAGCGGACGCCGTCGCACCGGACGCCGTCGCAGCGGACGCCGTGGCAGCTGATGCCGTGCCAGCGGACGCCGTCGCAGCAGACGCCGTACCAGCGGACGCCGTCGCAGCGGACGCCGTACCAGCAGACGCCGTCGCAGCGGACGCCGTACCAGCGGACGCCGTCGCAGCGGACGCCGTACCAGCGGACGCCGTCGCAGCGGACGCCGTACCAGCGGACGCTGTACCAGTTGACGAAGAGGCAGCTGATGCCGTACAAGCGGACGCCGTCGCAGCGGACGCCGTACAAGCGGACGCCGTACCAGCGGACGCCGTCGCAGCGGACGCCGTACCAGCGGACGCCGTCGCAGCGGACGCCGTACCAGTGAACGCCGTCGCAGCGGACGCCGTACCAGTGGACGAAGAGGCAGCTGTTGCCGTACCGGCGGACGCCAAGGCAGCGGATGCCGTACCATTGGACGCCGCCGCAGCTGATGCCACTGCAGCTGACACCGTCGCGGCTGATGCCGTACCAGCGGACGCCGTCGCAGCTGATGCCGTACCAGCGGACGCCGTCGCAGCTGATGCCGTACCAGCGGACGCCGTCGCAGCTGATGCCGTACCAGCGGACGCCGTCGCAGCGGACGCCGTACCAGCGGACGCCGTCGCAGCGGACGCCGTACCAGCGGACGCCGTCGCAGCGGACGCCGTCGCAGCGGACGCCGTACCAGCGGACGCCGTACCAGCGGACGCCGTCGCAGCGGACGCCGTACAAGCGGACGCCGTCGCAGCGGACGCCGTACAAGCGGACGCCGTCGCAGCGGACGCCGTACAAGCGGACGCCGTACCAGCGGACGCCGTCGCAGCGGACGCCGTACCAGCGGACGCCGTCGCAGCGGACGCCGTACCAGTGAACGCCGTCGCAGCGGACGCCGTACCAGTGGACGAAGAGGCAGCTGTTGCCGTACCGGCGGACGCCAAGGCAGCGGATGCCGTACCATTGGACGCCGCCGCAGCTGATGCCACTGCAGCTGACACCGTAGCGGCTGATGCCGTACAAGCGGACGCCGTCGCAGCTGAGGCTGAGGCTGAGGACGTTGTGTCTGTCGCACCCGACGTGATGGAGACAGCCGCTACGGGCGAGGTGCTGAAACAGGACCAGTCCTCCGCAGCCGACGACACCCCGCCCGGAGAGGGAGCGGCATCCGCGGTGCTGGAAGTGGCGCCAGCCGCAGACATACCACAGGATGCCATGCAGGCAACAGGGGGGGTAGCGGCGCCGACGGCGGCAGTAGCCGTGGCTGCGGCGGTGGACGTCGAAGGCGAGGGCGAGGGCGAAGTACCTGTCTCGGAGACGACGGAGCAGCAGGCAGCGGAGCCGGACGCCGCGGTGGACGAGCCGGTTCCTGAGACGGCGCCGGCAGCGGAGTCCACTGGAGCGAGGGAGGAGGCGCTGGCACCCAGGGTACCTGTAGCTGCTGAAGCACTTGAGGCCGAGGCGGCCGTGTCCGCCGAGGACGTGAGTTCACAAGCGGCTCCTTCGCCCGCTGAAGGGGTAGACGTCAGCGTCGGCGATCCGGTGACTATTGTAAAGCCTGCCGTACAATCCGATCCGCTGGCGCCAGCCTCCGCCAGCCTAGCGTCAATCCTGGCGGATGCCGCCGCAATCGCAGCGGCACGCGTCAGTACTGCAGTCGCTGATGCGGCTGTGCGCGCCGCCGCCAAGGCCGCCTCCGCAGTCGCCGACGCCGCCGTCGAGGCGGCGGCGCGTATGGCGGAACCAAACGCCAGCGGCGGCGGCGGCGACGCCAAGGCCTTGGAGGCGGCGGTGATGAGCGCAGCGGCCGCGGCGGCAAATTCGACTGCTGCGGGCATTGCCGACACCGCCGCGGCGGCAGTGGCTGTGGCGGTGGAGGCTGCCGTGAAGGAGGCGGCGGAGGAGGAGGCTATAGCTGTGGCGCAGGCCGTGGCTGCTGCCGCCGTGGTGGCTCCAAAACCAGTGACAGCGGCGCCGACGGCAGTGGTAGTGGCGGTGGAGGCTGCCGTGAAGGAGGCGGCGGAGGAGGAGGCTATAGCTGTGGCGCAGGCCGTGGCTGCTGCCGCCGTGGTGGCTCCAAAACCAGTGACAGCGGCGCCGACGGCAGTGGTAGTGGCGGCGGCACCCTCGGCGCCGTCGGTGAAGGTGGGGGAGTTATCTGACGTAGAAGCTGCTGCCTGGAGCGGCGCTGAGGAGGAGCAGCAGGAGGGGAAAGAGGTGGAGCAGCAGGAGGAGGAGGAGGAAGCCGCTGCTGCGATCATGGGCCAGGAGTTCGCGGTAGCAGCATCAGCACCTGTTTCAGAGCTGTTGATCCAGATTGACCAGGTGCTAGCGGAGGCGAATGTGGATGCGGGCGAACCTCAGACAGCAGAAACCTTAATGCCTCTTGACCTGTCGACGGCGTCAGCTAGCGGCGAGGAAGCTGCCGCTGCCGCCATTGCCGCAGCCGCCGCTGAACCTGCGGCGAATGATCCGGCAGTACGACACGATAAGGGCGACGACAACGGTGGCGGCGGCGGTGTACTGCCTCTAGGCCTTGCCTTCAACGCCATCGATGCCGACAGCCCGCAAACCGCGGAGGCAGAACTTATCCCGCACTCCGCCGACACCGTTACCGCCGACGCCGCTGAGGATGCCGCACCGATGGCGCTGACGCTGGAGCCCGTACTGCCCACGGCATCCGCCTCCGCCGGCGATACCACTGCTGAGCCGGCGGCGGCAGTGGCGGCGGTGGACGTTCTATCTCTGCCCGCGTCGCTCTCCGATGTGTTGGATGCGCTTTCAGGGCCTCTGGGCGGCGGCAACGGCGGCGTCACGGACAAACTGCTGGAGCGCATTCGGGTCATCAACAAGCTGCTTGAGGAAGTGAGTATACCAGCACAAACTGCCTTACCTGTCGATTGCCATCGTACATGCATCATTGTCGTTCGCCATCGTACTCGCAATCGTACTTGCTATAATCGCAAACGCTTAGTTAGGTTTTGGCAGGATGTTCTGAGCCGTGTGTCATCAAGCGATCAGTGGAAAGTGTCTTCTTTTATAAATCATGTTCCTCATAGCCTACGACAGCCTAAAGGTCCTAAGAAACTCGCCAACAATCTAGGCAACACGCAACACACAGATGCCGCAGGTCCAGATAAAACTACTATATCAGCGCTCTTAGACTGTGGAAAGTGGAAATCCAAGGAAGGGCTCTTCTTGTGACGCCGATTGTGGCGAGATTGCACAGCTTCCAGCTTCGTACAGCTTGCATTATGGCTCCTAATTAAGTAAGGCAGCACACTAGCAGTGGCACAGCGTTGCTACGGCGGCGTGTGGCCGGGGACCTAGTTTGCAGTTGCCTGTTGTGGCACGTCCCCCTCCCCGTGAGATATTTTGGATATTATTACGGAACCTGATGCCAGCGCGGCCGAGAGCCACTGCCACGACCAGTTGCCATGTAAGTGAAATGACTGAAGCTTTATATGAATTCGACGTCATCCAACATCATCTCCCTTGCGAAGCGATGCCCTGTTTCGTCCGAACGCTTCAGAAAGAAATGCCTAAAGGCCCTGCCTTAACCTTTAGTACATTTATGCCCTCTTTTCCGAAGGCATTCTTCGCCGTATCGGTAAATTGCCTGGTAGTCCTCTTGTAAAGATATTTTCTCAGCTTTTCGTGAAGCTAGCTCTCTCTCTCTCGCGTGCGCGCCATTCTTTTTTCACCGTACTGTCTTGTGTGTGGTGTACAGAATAGTACGGAGGAATATAATACGGGGTAATGGAACCCTAATCTGCACTCTAATCTGCAGGAGCAGCAACGAGCTGAACTTGAGGCCGCGGTGGCGGCTGCGGCTGCGGCGGCTACCATCACCGCCGTCGCAGAGGAGGACGATAACGACGACAGCGCCCCGCCGCCGCCGCCGACGACGACGACGACGATGACGGACTCCGGCACCGCCACAGCCACTGTAACGGCCAATGTAAGAGGCCGTTGTAACGGCCAATGCTCTCTCGGAGATCAGTATTGTCGTGACGACATGTAGTATAGTCGCGGATTTGTGGCCCGATACAGAGCCCCGACACAAAACATGGATTGGTGCAGCTCAGACCTCCGTTGCCCTCGCTGCCAGTGCGAACTAGCTGGCTGCCTGGCTGGCGTCCGGGGGATCCACAACTGACCCATGGGTCATCCCAATAATGGGTCATCTCCGCGGACCCACGGGGATTCCCCAACATGCCGTTAGATACATTTGTTTTGGAGGTTCCCGCAATGCGATAGCATATATTAACTGCGTACTAGTATGTACTCACTAATTGCCTGATTGGAAATTCCTGAGCCCGACTCCTGAGCCCGCTCCGTCCCCCACCTGCAGCATCAGGAGGTGGAGACGGGCGCCGTCGTGGTATCCGGGGAGGAGCTGGACGCGGATGAAGGTATCGGCAGTAGCAGCAGCAGCAGCAATAGCAACGGTAGCGGTGCATACGTACGACAACCGCACGGTGTCGTGCCGCCGCCAGAGGTGGTGGAGGTGGTGCCGGGGGATACGGAGGTACCGATACCTCCTGCGGTGGAAGGCGAGGTGGTGGCGAGAGAGGCAGTGGAGGCAGTGCGGCAGCAGCATGCAGAGGCTCCTGCGGCGCCGGTGGTGGTTCCGGAGCCGCCGACGTTGGAGAGCCTCAGGGCGGATCTGCTGGAGATGCTGTACGGCACTGCTCGCGGCGTCACCGCTACCGCAGCGCAGCGAACGGCAATTGACGAGCTTGTGGCGGCGCTGGAGGCTCGCAATCCCAACACCTCCCCCACTGACGTACGTGTCTTAACAGGCGGTCAACGGTTCCGTATGCTTGGACCCACTTGGGCCCACTTGGGCCCTTGGGACGCTAATCTGCCATATCCACCCTGGCCACTTCTCTTACTCTACCCCCTTGCTTGCATTCTTTGGTCTGCCGTACAGGCCGTCACTGCTCTGGGTGGTCGTTGGAAGTTGGTTTACACGTCCAACGTGGCCACGTTGTTGCTTCTGGGGGCTCTGGACGGCATGCCGCTGGTGGATGTGGGGGATGTGGTGCAGATCATCGACCCAGAGGGACTCACAGCCACGAACAAGGCAAGGGAAAGGGGGAAGAAGAAGGAAAGGGTTACAAAGGCATAGCCTGGTACACACAAGCAGACGTACGTACAGACATACCTTATCTATGGCCTCTTAACCCCTCCCCCCCTTATCCCTCTCCCCCCTCCTCCAGATCGACTTGGCCGTTCCCGTGCTTCTGTCCCTCCGTGCCGAGTCGGGTTTGGAGGTCCGCTCCCCCCGGCAGTTCAAGGTGCGTCTGACCCGTGTGGGTTTGGACACGTACGTCGCCACCCCGCAGCTGCTGGCGGCGCTGGAGGTGCCCCCCTCCGTCACGTTGCTGGGGGCCACCCTGGACCTAACCCCGCTCAGGAAGCTGCTGGAACCCATCAACAGCGGCCTGGAGGTGAGGCGGGCGGGGCTTCGGGGGGCTCACGCAGCCACATAGATTTTGCCCGCATTTGCCGACCCTTCCGGCCACGTAGCCTGGACCCAAGTAATATACTCCTGGATTTGGGTTTCACGTCGGCGTTTGGGTAAAGCGTTTGTTGTGTCCGTTTTTACCCGTTTTTTCGTTATCCGTTAGCCCCTTCTCATTTCTGTTGTCGCTGTTGCCCCTGCCTCGTTGACCACCCTCCTCCAGGCCGCTCAGAGCATTGTGAGCCGTGCCGTAGCTCCGGAAATCAGTATGGACTCCGTTCCCGTTCCTCCGGGCCTGACCCGCGGGTCGGTGTCCGAGGCCGCCAGCTTGTGGATGCTGACCACCTACCTGGACGACACGCTGCGTATCAGCCGAGATGATGAAGGACGAGTCTTCGTAATGCTCAAGGTGGGAAGAGGGTCTCTGTGTTTTGGCGTGTGTGTGTGTGTGTGTGTTGGCGTGTGTGCGGACAGGAGGACGGAAGGGGCGGGCCGGGGCAATGGGAAGGGCAGCTGCAGAGTGGGTTGCAGGCAGAGGAACGGCGATTGGTGTTCTGGCGTTGTATGTCCCTTTTCATGGCTTGCATGCATAAAACGGGCGCGCGGCCGCTGCACCACCAGAAGCGCACAAAACCATTCAGGTAATCGATCACGGCTCTTTTCCCTTCTTTTTTGTCCTAGGACGTGGGCATCTATCCTACCAAACAAGAGGACATCTGAACGACCCATGGGTCAACGGTGTCCAGCAGTAATAACAGTGTGACAACGCTGAGAACAACCGTGGCAACGGTAACGGCGTCCCCATGCGAGATCGTCATCACGATTTTGCGTCAATGCTTCCACCGGCCTTTCCTCCATGTGCGCTCTGTGTAGTTAAAGAGAAATAAAGAAGAGTCAAGACGAAAAAGAAAGGCAGGCAGGGAGCAGGGAAATAGCAGGAAGCGCGTGTACAATGCTAATATGAAGATAGAAGCAAAGATGAGAGGCAGGATGATGATGATGGGCGATGTCAGGGACTTTATGCTATCTGAATATTTCTAGTTGCCGAGGATTTCTTAACCGCAAGTTTGGTATTTATGCGCCCCGCCATAGTTTTTACACATGTGTACATCCTCACACCCTAAGACCGCGATCCACATATAAATCCACAAACATATTTAGATCAACTACATGAGCTTGGGCACCTCCTGCAGCTTGACTTCGTTGATGTCTAAATGGTAGAACGTTTTGCCTGCCTTTTGAGAAGATCTGAGCCGTAAGAGGGAGCTTTTAATGTACATGTTATATTGCGTATGTACGTCATTACGTATGTGCGTCATTACGTATGTACGTCATTACGTATGTATGTCATTACGTATATACATGAGGTGGTCAGGTTTCGAGACAGAGAGTGTGTGCACGCGTGCGGTGCGTGGTATATGTCCGTGTGCGTGTCAATATGTTGGATGGACACATCGCTTTTGTAGACGCGCGCAGCGAGTGTGTGCGTGTATGTATGTATATGTGTGTGTGTGTCCTTTCCATGTAGCAACATCGCCAACGCGAGTACGGTAAACGTATGTTTATACGCGCTGTCTGCGTGCGTGCGTGCGTATGTGCCACACATAAACACAAGGACGGAAAGCACAGAAGAAGGAGGGGGGTGAATGAGCGGCAAGAAGAGCAGTATGGAACCTAGTAGGATCCCCGCGTGGATCACCGAAGGCTGGATGATGTTGTTGTTGTCGTTAGCGTCGGTATGCACTCTGTATGTTGGGGCTCATGCTCTCTAATTTCCCTCTCTCCTCTTTCCTCTCCGGAGCACGTCCCCGCGTACAAGCGGTGCGGTGCGGGGACGTAACACGGCGGGATGAATGCGGTGTATGACGGGTCAGGTAGGGGACAATTATGCCCGTTACGTTTCCTTCAGCTCAAGTACTCATCAGCCGACAGCACGGCCCTTCTTTGTTGGCTTTGACGAGAAGGGAAAGGGTAAGGAGAGAAGAGAGCGGAGAGATACGTGGAGGCAGGGGGTGCGGGCAGCGAGCTAGAGACGACGGTCGTTGGATTGATTCCGGAGCGAGCGAGCGTGAGCCGAAGGGCCTGGCTTTGCTCAAAGCCACAGTCGTGCGCGTAAAAAGGGCGGCAAGGGTTTGCGGGTCAGCGTTTGCTTTGGGCCCTCCCTTTGCGGCCTTTTGCAGGATGGGGTGTTGTCGTGGCGTGTGCAGAGCTCAAAAAAGCGATATTTGGATTGCGGCCCTTGGCTTTGTATTAAAAATCGCAAAATTAGTCATGCAAACTCTCGGTGTCCTCTGGGTAACAGTACCACACGTTTTGTTCGTTAAGGCAGTAGGGAGGTGTTCACATTATAACGTTGAGGAATAAGCTCAAGTTCTGTAGCCTCTCGGTCCGCTATTTGTTTGAATTGCTCTCTCTTAAAAAAATGGAGAGAACTCCTGCCTTGGTGGGGCGTTTGCATTGCTCAGATTGGTTCAATTTGGTTTAGCCCCAAAGCGTTCTGTGTGCGTTGGAAGCTACTATTCGCGGGCAGGCAGGTGTGGTGGTGGCTAAGTGGCTACTGAAAGCTTTTCTTCGCTGTATGGAGAGTGCAGTGCGGGCCGCTGAACTTTTGATAGCCGAATAATTTGCCACGAAAAATAAGAATAATGACCAAGGAAGTCATCAAGCAATTGCTATGCGGCGGGCCACAGTTTACAAAATGTTGCTTTTCGTTGGATTTAAATGTTGGTACTGTACGCGATTGGTGGTTGGTACTAGATCCGTGCTGTGCAGCTGCCAGCAGCAGCCCTCTGCAGATGCGGTAAGCGGTGAAACTGGAAAAGCGACCTCGCGAAACCCAGCTGCAGCCTCCGTGCGTGTTTGCACGCCAGTGTGCGTGCGCAGGTGAAAGGTTACGTGAAGGATGTAGGGAGGTTGATTACTTTTGAAAGCCGCTTATGGTTGAATGTGAAGGTTGCTAAACTTTGAACTGGCCTTAGGATATATATAAAACTTGATGTTCGCGATTGTTGTTTTATTTTTGGTATACGGATTTGGTTACCGGGCCTCTCTCGCTTATTAGGTGTCGAAAGGCCTAATACGCGTGCAAACAGCTGGATGCTTCTTCGAGCCCTGCAGGACTCTTGCACATCCTTTTTTTATTGCAGCCTAGATACAATTCCATCACCCGCAGCTCCTGCGTATCGACACATGCCATTATGCCGGCTTCCTTCGCAGCAAAAGGGCAGCAAAAGGGCAGCGACTTTGCACAAAACACTCGGAAGAGCAATAAACGCCGGTGCCTGGGAAACCGCCGCTGTACTATTTTTGAGTCCTCGTGCTGGTCAGGTGAATTAGCCGTCCAACCCGGGAGTGCGCGAGACCATCTCACTCTCAGCACCGATCTGTTAAAAGAATGCCTCACTGTTCACTGAAGTCATGAAGGGGCTGCGGAATTCGGCACACCCTACTCGCGTATTAGTGTCGGGGCATATACCCTCATAAAGGGGGTCGTAAACGACGGCTCGTTCAGCAGAATGAAGGAACCCTGACTCCAAGCCAAACGACAAACACACGCAGGGCGCCCCGTGAACCGCACCGATGAGCGAGTGGTGCGAGCTGGCTGCGAGATCAATCAGAGGCCCGCGGACGGGCCCTAACAACGGACCACACTTTTGAGTCCGCGGCCCCAAGCCCGCGAACGCAAACAGCGACAGCAGCAATAGCAGTCGCCGCGGTAATAGACAGTAACAAATAGAAGATGGAGGTATACAACGGCAGTGGCCGCCTGCATCGTCTTGACCCAGAAACCAAAGGCATTCCAAGCAAGGCTCGACTTGCGAAACGCACATACAACCCCACATAAAACCACACATACATAAATACATCCATGCGTACATCCATGCATACATACCATACAACAGCACATCCACACACCCGTCTAGCTAGAGGGATACACAGCCACCGGGTCGGCAATGCTGCGTAGAGGATACCGTGGGCGATGTAATACATGATTTACGACACCACTTTCAAAACCCTACAACCCTAAAACACAAAGTTAAAATAAACCACTTTCAGAGGACGACTGAAGTCTCAGAAGGAAAATTGCCGCGAACTCAAATTACCCTTATATTTCTTTTAAGAACCCTTATATGCCTCAAAAATCTTTACGGAAACCCTTACCGAAACCTTACCGAGGGATAGAGTACTGTTCAGTTTTTTCACATTCTTTGGTACCCCTTGGCCATCGGCTGTCCGGATCTCCCAGCCGCGATCCAACCCCCCTGTCCGCATTCCCGTGACCGAATCCCATTTCGCATTAAACCCGCTTGCATCCCTCTGATACGTAAAACACGAACATTCCAGAACCGTCCAATCCAATCTCCACTACGTCTCTCACGTAATGATCTTCGGACGCGGCTGATGGAGCTGGGGGGAATAACGATTGACGTAATACCCAGGGGGGATACCGCAATGACTATAACAACAAGGTCTTCACATTTACAATAAAGCGGATGGCTGCGCGATGCTGTACACAACACCGCACAACCCCCGCTCTTAAAGAGTAAAATGAGTGCCTGCTCCAGAACTAATAAGTAATCAGGCCGGCCAAAACGCAGTGGTCCCAAATCCTAAATTAGTCAAGAGAGCACCGAGCAGTGGACGTGTGCATCAGAAATGGTTAGGAATAACAACACGACAGAGACAGAGACACGTCCCAATACCGAAATCTTCAACCCGAACACCACATAAAACCCTGAAACCCTAAAACCCAATCGTCGGTGATACCGTCCACTAGGTGCTAGGTATGTGACGTCTCCTCGGCGCTGTGGTGGTCCATGGTGGTCATATACCATTGGGGTACAGGTGTTGTCTACCTATAGGTGTAGTACGGCGGCGGCGGGCAAGTCTCTGCCGCACGGGGTTGAGTCACCTTGCACACACATTTCGGATCCTCCTCCGGCCGCAGGAAGCCGCGATCCGGCATACAGCAGCGCTCCAAGTTGACTCCGTTCCAGTTCCAACGGTCTGGGGCCGAATCTCGGAACTTGCCTGTTTAGGACGGGAGGCAGCGGCGCGCCAAGTGGGAGTAGAGGGTTCTGCCGGTTTTGTTGAGTTTCAGTAGGGTATCATTGCACAGTCAGGCGGCGAAGCGATATCCCGCGGGAAGACGACGAGTGATTCGCGTACACGTGTGCGGCACCAATTCAACACAGACATATTAGACCCGGACGGCAGCCACGAACGGATGCGAACGGAGCGATCGCACACACACATACATACTTCCTACACACTGCGTGCTTCTACATAGCCACACACACACACTTGCTACATAGCTTTGTTGCTCCCCGCGTACCATGTGGATCAAGCTGCCGTACAGCACATCCGAAGTCGCACCAAGTGTCCGGATACTCTTTGTCGCCGTGCCAGCAGCCCGCGTCAGGCCAACCTGTCGTACACGTCCGGAACAAAGACTAATTGCTGCGATATTCGCTTTGCAACATAATCATTTAAAACCGATTCCTAGCTCCCTAGGGTTTAGGCTCGGTGCCGATATACATACAGCACCACGACGGGTCGGCACTGCCACATGGCGGACTGACACTTCTATGCCGATCTACATACTTACAACAGGCTCGTCCAATGCTTAATTCAGAAATAAAAGAACAGGCTCCTCCTATCCCACAACTTGACGACGTTAATAACATGACCTTTTTTCCCTTCCCTACACGGGCCTGGTCTGAGGCTCGCTGTAATACCGGCTACTACTACCCAACTACCTACTGCAGTAACGGGTCCCCTCCCAACTTCTACCCTGTTGTATCACGTCTTTTTGCAGGAAAGAACCGACCGGCGGATGACAGATCCCGTGACTCCCAGGATACTACAATTATCTCCCTAGATCCCCCAACCAGTTATTGTAAACATGGACACCGCACGTCTCTTCCTTTCCAGTGGCGACCGTGTCACCTAGCCCCCGGGCCCCCCCGACCTGTGTTGCATACAGACATACAGACAAACCAAAGGCCTCACCGGATTTGCCCCAGTGCAGCCGGGCACCTGCGCCCGACAGACCGGCTTTCCCGCACCGGGGGTCGCTGCGCAGATAACCGACCAAGGCCTTGAACACAACGTTCGTTCGCCGCATTGGCCTGCATACGTACGTATGTACGAACGTATGTACGCACATACAGACGTACGGACGTAAGCAGGTTGCTTATCACAATATTCTTCTCGCACGCACCGCTTGACAGAGCACAAGAACAAGAGCGCTACCGGCTATTTCCACCTCTAGGAACGCTTGCTGTAGAAGCAAACCAGATGTGCAACCAAGGACCAACTTGAATTGTTCGACTCGGATTGGAAGTGTGGGGATGGATTCAGAAATTGCATCACCTTGCAGCATCAGGGCAAACACACAGCAAGGTACCAGGGGTAGCACTGACGCGTATTCCCCCCCCGGTTCGTGCTCGTCCAAGCTCGTACAAGCTCGTCCGAGATCGTACAAGGTCGTACAAGACTTGACATTTAAGCCAGGCGTGGATTCCGGTATGTAAAGTTCTTCAACCCTCCAAGACAAACGGTGTTACGGCATCTGCAAGTATGTACGAACCTGTTGTAGTACAGGTAGTCCTCAATGTTGAGCCACATATGCGGTTGACCGCCTGAGGGGCTGAGGAGTCCGTCTTCATTGCCCGTCGTACGGACCAGGGGGTTACTCCGAAACCCGTAGTCAGGGCGGCCATCGGGGCCGATGAGCGATGTACCGTTTGTATTGTTGCCTAATTTGGAAATGATGCTGAGCGGTGATGCGGTTCCGTTGTACTCCGTACCATCCAGGTTGTCGGCGCCGTACAGAAGCTCCAACAGGCCTTTCCAGCAGTCGGCCATACTGGAGACCGGCATGGCGACTTCTAACTGCAGTACAATCGTACGGCGGGGATCCATGACAAACAGGAAACATCGAGGCACCAGCCAATTTCGGAGTTACACAACAGGAAAGGACTACACACACAAGCGAGGAAAGAGTCGGGTTGTCTTGAGCATAATAAGCTAAAGCATAAGCTTATGCTCAGGCAGCATAATAAGCTTTAGCTTACTATACTCAGACAGCCTCCTCTTTATAAACGAGGACATGCCAGGAAGATATCAGGCGGGCACCAGACTAGGTAAATTGATAAAAACAGAGGGAAGGCTTCCCAAACTTGCCATTCGGATATCTCGTATCTGAAATTTGATCCCAAACCCTAAAACCCTAAAACCCAAGATCCAACCTTTTAAATTATCTAAATGCCGACCCCACCGACCCACCCACCTGGTCGTACGTAACCCGGCGAATGTTGATCTCCAAAATGGACTGCCAAGGTTGCGGTACAGTTCGTGCATCAGCAAAACAATTGACACGGCAGCAAGCAGCCAAGCAACGACGGGGGCGTTAGACTACAGGTCCCGTTTCTATGGTCAAGTTAGCGTTACGAAAGGGGACCAGTACGAAAATCCGTTCAATCCCTTCCAGCACACGTAACAAACACTTAGAATACCGGGGCTTAGGGTTTTAGAGTTTTGGCATATCTAATTCCCGTGCAGCAGCACAGCACAGCACAGCACAGGTTTGGGTGGCCGCCCCAAAACATTTAGAAGGACATCTAGTAATCCTCCTCTTACTTGTAAGGGAAATATAAAAATGGACCAAAAAGGATTCGCTGGGAAATAATAAGAAGACTTCGCGGTGTGTGCATAATCGCACCTCAGGCTGAAACAGATACGAGCTCTGGGACTCCTTCGTTGCGTTGGCGGCGACCGAATACACCCCGCTGCGCGAAATGTCGATGTAGGCATCGGCCATGTTTGCAAGGCCATAGAACACTGCGCCAAGGACGTGTGTGTGGGAAGAGTGGATGCTTCGAAGATCAGAGGTTGGTTAAGGGAATGTTGGGGAAACTTCCTAATAGGTCTCTTAAGGGCGAATCTGCTTTTAACAGCGCCAGCTGCTGCTGACATGTAGCTGCCTGATTTCCGTTCTTACAGCTTTATGTTTTCTAGATCTTTGCAGTTTACATTTTATTTATTTTAGGTAACATCATTGGTTTCGCATCACCTACCCGTCGCAGGCCGCCTTTGCGGAATGCTCCAGACCTCGCCCTCCCCCGCCTCGTTCAACGAAGCCGTGCTCGCGCCGCTACCATTAATTGTCGACCGCTGGCGGCTCGTTGCCTTACTGGCAATGGGGTCGCTTCGCGCCCGGAACAAACTGACCATCCCATTTTGAGAATTCGTGTCAGGCGAGGACACCTTCGATGGATCTTTGGCGGCCGGAGCCGCTCCATCAATAATGCCTGGTCCTGACGACGTCGACGGTGATGTCGGGGGTAGCGGCACGGCCGTCACGGTCCCCGCCGCCACCACCTCAGGCTCTTCAGTGGGTGTTGGCGTCGCCGCTGGCGCCGTCGCATTCACTGCCATCGACGCATTCGTATCCGTCGTTGCATTTGCTGGCGTCGACACATTATCGGCCGGCTTTGGCAATCGGCTCGCCGCCACTGCCGCTATCAAGGCATCGAGGCTGGCTGACGGCCGCGATACCCGCGGCGCTGACGGCCGCGGCGCCGGAGTGGTTGGACCAGCCATGGCGGCTACTGCAGGCGACGACTTATCAGCAGCGGCCGCGCTTCTGCCGGCGTCGCTGCCGGTGGGTACGGCACCTGCGCCGGCGCCGGCGGCGGGGGCCTGCTGCCAAGGCACGTTAAGGACAGTGTCGTTCAGTTGGCGTAGGACTGGCAGCGCGATGTCGGCGATGTTGGTGACGGGGTCGAAAGTGACGTTGCCCAGCAGAGGGAAAACTGCGGGAAGGAGGCAGACGTGGGGTGAGAAGTCCAGAGGGTCCCAGACGAGCCCCAAAACACCGCTACCAGAACGCCCGCATTTCCAAAATGCGGAAAATAAACATTTTACCCAATACATCATCAGGCAAAAACCTGGATTGTGTTTTGAAGGTACGGGAATAAAGGCTGTTTCCTTGTTGCCCCAAGGGAGGGTTGCGCCCACCATCGACGGTCACGTTGCGCAGGTCCTTCGCTTGCTCCAGCAAAGCCAAAGATGTGTTGTAGGCGGTCGTGTTTTCCGGGCCGGCAAGTGCATAACCCCGGAGAACTTCAAGTCGCTTTGCGGCCTCAGAGATGTCGCCCCTCGTGAACGTGACCATCAAGAACTGCACTCGAGGCAATAAAGGTGGGCGATGGGAGAGGTGTACATCGGCAGTTAGCGGATTATGGCAGCGGCACCTGCCTGCGGGGCAATGCTCAAAGCACGGAGTCTTATTCCCCTAAAAAGTAGACCATCCTCCCCAGCCGCAATGTTCCACAAGTCCCAGATTGTCCAGTTGTCGTACCTCATGTCGTTGCGGTACCCAGAACCATTCCGTCTCGTCCATCCACTCAGGCAGTGAGCCGTTGGTGTTCCACTGATCTTGAGCGGATCTCAACAGCTCCAAAAACTCAGTGGAGGCCAGTCGGCGAATGGTACGGGTGACGGGTACCTGCATTTGCGGTGGTTGTGGTGGTTGCGGTGGTGGATGCGGTAGTTCGGGCATCGTCCGGTCTATCGGCGGCTTTTCACGCTGCTTCGCTGTTTCGACTCGTAGGTGTCAGTACATGTCATTGTTGTTCTTCGGGGGGTACGGTTAGTTGGTTTTGGCTTGCAGCAGTCCTCGCGCGATACGTGCTTGATCGGTACGTAGTGCTGTTTCCGAAACCTTGCGTTTCGAGGTGAAAAAGAAAACGGCGGCTCCGGCGGCGGCCGTCCTTGCGACCCGCCGACCTGCCGACCCGCCGACCCGCCGAGCTCTTTCCAGATATTCCCCACTGACACAAAGACTCTCTCAAGCACCCAAGGTACCCGGCCAGCACCGACCCGCCGAAAAGTGTGCAGCCTGCACCAACGACCCGCCTGACGCACCTCACGCATGATGCGGAACTTGATGTGCGTGATGATGCCCAGTTTTCCCACACCCACACGGACCGCCTGGGATCGGACGGCGAAAATGGAAGAGGGTGTGTGTGCTGTGAAGCGGAAGGAAGAATTAAGAAAAGAGAAAAAAAGACAAAGATGCAATGGAGGTCCCGAGGGAAACGTAAAGCGCGGGATATTGGAAGAAAAGGAAGCATTAACTAACTTGATCGCCCGGGTCAAGATTGCCAATTTTGTTGGGTCACAATTGGACATTTTCAACTCCGCACTACGATAGGAAGAGCCTCTCAGGACTGTGAGCTTGTTCAAACAAAATTTCATGCATTTCCTTTTTTTATCCGCTCATAAATAACTGCAACAACAAGGAAGCGGGTGCATGTTGCATGTATGTAGTCATTCCCCTAACCACCCAGCACTCGCCCTCCCCACCCTGACCCTCACCCTCATTAGAAAGGGGTCCGTCTCACTGGAGAATGTCCGAGTCGAGCCATCCGCCAACACCATTGTCAGCGCAAGCACCTGGCAGGTAGAGGTTGGGAGGTTAGGGGGGTTAGAGGTTGGTGGTTAGTACGGCTGTAGACAGGATGCCATAGGATTGGATAGGATTCGCCCCCCGGGGTTGGGTTTACCGGTGCGCCACCCTACCTTACCTACCACCACAAATCGAAGCACAGATCCCAACATTCTCCACATCATCATCAAGCGTCTCCACAGCCAGGACACTCCTCCCTCCGCTCCGGAGAAACTGCCCAACGCGACCAAATCGCCCTCCCCCTCTACAAACACCCCACGTATCCGCCTCTGAGATCTCCTACCTGGCTGGACAAGGAGCTGTGCTTGAGGCTACTACCGTGTGTGTTTGTGGATACGGCACCCCCCAGGGTTTGAAACACGAACCACGGGAAGGCGGGGAGAGTCCACCCCGCTGGGGCGGATGGGGTGACGTACGCCGCCAGATAGCGCAGCAGGTCAATCGTTCGGATGCCTGCACAGTGCAGGGATGACACCAAAACATACACAGTATTGATGCACACACGCACACATACACGGACCCTGACTTCATGGGTAAGCCGTACGAGGACAGCGAGGTCGTGGAAGCAATTCCAGCGGGAGGAAGAGGGGAAAGAGAGGGGAGAGAGGATACGGGAGATATCTTAGTGGGGGTTTCTGTGGCCGCCGAGACAGAGAGTCTGGCATGCGGGAAAGGCAGACAGGCATGGCATGGCTTTTCGGACCTTTCGGATTAATCATTATTTCGAACTTTGTAGACCATTCGGTCAGGTTGCAGCCGCCCTCAGAGGAACTCTCGGGAACACATTCGCATGTATCCATATGGGTGGGCTCGTTACACCTCTCTGGGTCATGCAACCGAGGTGTAACACACACACATACATACATACATACACACGCACACGCATATCCTGTTCAAAATGTGCCGGAAATAAATCCTCGGAGATATTTCCCAGAACAAAAACGGGAAATGTTCTGTAGTTTACTACGCAATACTACCATTCAGGAGCTCTTTTAAGCCGCGCTCGGGACGCAAACGGACAACATCAATGCCAATCCCCATCCCACGCACACACACCCGCATCCACGGTGACGCTCTCCTCTGTCTCGTTGACCTCAATCCGCAAAGGCCTCATCGTTTGCATCACAATGTTAGCCGGGCCGTTGGGCGCCGGCGAGCTCCTCCAGTTGCTCAGCACGCCGTAACCGCTGTTGCTGCTGCCGTTGTGGCCGTTACTGGCGCTCGAATTAACCCACCTATATCCATCCGGAGTGAAGGGGGCCGAGCCGTTGCTGGCGCAAAAGAAGCCCTGCGGCCACACGCGGCGACAGGTGCGGGTATTCGTCATGTGGGTGTTATACGGTTGCGTGTTCGGTGGGCCCCCAAAGGCAATGGCCAGCATTAGCCAGCATCGGCTACTGCACCGGCGTGACCACCCCCAAAGATGAAGCCAAAATTATTTACTAAATAACTTCCCTTCGGTAAAGGAAACAGGAAGCATCATAGTAATACTAGTATATATATGACACATGGAACAGAATAATTTATTTTGCGCGTTTGCCTCGCGTGATTTGGCAAACGCGGGGTCCACACCATTCGTGTACGGCTCCCACGACGGAGTAACCCGCCCATTGAGGCGATAGCCGGAACGTCGTAACGCTCACGTAAAATCGTTATGAAACACATTGCTCTGGATTGGGCGAAGTCGCCCGACCTCCCGCGGATTACTAACGAAAGCTGCCCGTGCCGTGGGCGTAGTACGGCTCTAGTACGGCATTCAGGCAGCACTACGGTGGTGGTGATCTGATCGGATCCCAATCATTCACACAATGATTGCAATTGTAATAATATTAATATTAATTATATATAACAAAATGATGAATAATAACAGTAGTAATAGTCGTAATAGAAAATAACGCAGTTCATTTGTTAATCCCTTCAAGGGACGGATGTTGTGCAGCACTTGCAGCGCATCTTCCCTACCTGGTTCCAAGACCATCCGCCGCCAACTGCGATAATGTTGCTGTGACGGCGAACAGCCGCCTGAACCTGCTGTACCGTTCGCGGCCTGGTGGTAATGCAGATCACGGATTCTGAGTATTGGGTTTTCGGGGCCAGCCCTATCCTATGCTCACTTTCTATAATATTCTAAACATGTCTATTCTTAAGTAACTCAATATAACTTGTAACTGTCTATACATACAGACTTTGAAGAATTTCTGCAGCCAATACTTTTCTAATCGGATTCGGCGCCCACCAATGCCTCGCCTCACCGCACAATCCGAACCGTAGTGTTGTCACAGGCGTACTCGTTCTGAAAATTGGTTAAGTCCCAGGGCACAAAGCCGTTCGCTGCCGGCGGGCTAGCTACGCCCAGTAATACCAGCCACGCTGCCGTACCAATGGCGGTGAGCACCGCAGCACAGAGCGCTAGGGCCGATGTCGAAACTGTCATGCGGGCGGGCCGGCGTGCCGGGTTACGCACACCCACGCCCGCGCCCACCACCGCCTCCGCACGGACTATGCCACGAAGAGGTCGTACAAGGCGTCGTGATAGACCCATGGGGCTCGGGGGGCACTTACAGATTAGGCGCAGCGGTACAGAAACCCCTGGGTTTACTGCCCCAGCTCTGCCTACGATGTGGATTCAAGAGCTTCCTATCAGTCAAGATTAATCAGTAAAATAACCAGACGAGGAATGGTTGTGGAAGTGACTGTGGAGGTGGGGGCTGCGGAGGCTGCGGCTGCGCAGAAAAATGCCGTAGAAAGATCTGACGTCCGGGGTTTATGTTGCAATCTAAGTACGTAAATATGTTTGTTTGTATGTGAGAGTGTCGTGGAGGCGACGGATAGGTCGGCGAGGCGACCCGCGCTGTGGGAGGGCGTTACGTCGATGTCGTGTGACCCGTGGGTCGGTCAGAACAGCTACTGCTAGCGAGGCCAGCTACGGATATGGATAATTTGGTGGCTTTATGCTGCCCGGGGAGACGGGCCCACAGTGATCCTGATACGCCGCATACCCTGCGATATCAAAGGAACATAAACCGAGGAATATTAGAAGAACATAAACAATTGTGTTGCCAGCGGCTTCTGATAATGAGCAGTCCAAAGTGAAGGGAAATTTATGTTTGAGCCAGCGAAATAAAATAGAAGCCTCTGTTCACGAAAAAATATCGTTGGCGTGATGAAGTAACTAACGTCGAAAGCCGTCGAAAGAATTGGAATCTTACTGTCGTACACAAGCATGGGACGCACTTGGCCACCACCCGCCAGTGTGGGCGTTACGAGGTACGCAAATTCGGCCTTGGATGCCGAACGGCGCGCCGACAGGCACATTGGAGGATCGGTATACAGAATTCCCCTTCGCCCATCGACTTCACTTGGCAGCCTTACACAAAACACAGACTGCTCCCTCGTGACGGCGTACGGAAGGACAGATCAGAGGCCGTCGGTTGTGCATTGGCCATCTGACCCCGCAAGCAATTGCAAGCATTGCCGCAACCTTATCCCGCTACACACGGCTGGCCAGACATTTCGCTGCGGCACACCACTGCCGGTTATGCTTCCGTCTCTCCCGGGGCGCACATGTCCGTTATGCCACTGATCACATAAATAAAATGATAAATAAATTATAAAAATGGATAAAACATAATTATTTTTATTACTATTATCAAGATTATTATCTATCGTATTAATGATCAGTAGGCATAGTGAAGCGCAGTCAATGGGCCCCCTGGTATGTACCATCCCGTCCTTACGCCTGCGAAACATTCCGCTACCTCGACCCCTTATCTGCACCAGGGGCCCCGTCCCAAATTGGGTGCTTGGGTTGTGTTGAGGATGGACTAGGACGACGGAAGGAGGGGACGCGCGAGTAAGAAGCTTCAAAAGTAATCCCCAACTTACGCGCTGGGGGCTCGAGCGATTGAGGATTCGCGGCCAATCAGGATTGCGGTGGCCGCCCAAGTAGTGGCGTTGTCCGCGATCCGGTTCTCCTTGTCACTGATTTGGATTTGGATTAGGGAGCTTGCTATTTAGCAGGCGATGTTATGATCTGTCTGTCTTAACTGTTTGCGGACGTCTCCAATTGTTTGAGTGAAGCTGTGAAGCACTTTACTGAATCTCTTGGGTGCGAGCGTGTAGTATGTATGATGAAGAAAGGAGCGGCAGAAAGACAGACCGCCATCAAAAAGCGCAATGTCGTAGCGTTTGAAAGCCGGCTTTCTCTCGCCTCTACGGATTGATTGAGTGTACGGCACAAATCATTGACAGCTGTGAGGTTACACCGTACGACTTGTGTTCCTTCCTTGGTGTATATCTCAAAAACATCGAGGGGGTTTCCAGAGGCGTGTGTCATGTGTGCATAACAAGAGATATGCCAAAGATCCGTGTGACGTAGTTCGGCGGCGTACGACAGTACGACATGTCAGATTCCCCTGGAATTCCAATGTCCACGTTTCCATTCCTTTCAGGAGAGGGAAAGGAAAGGAAAACGCTGCTTAGAAAGTAGCGAACTAAAACATTGCAATTACCTAGCTAGTATCACAATTCACAGAAAAGGTTAAGTTGCAAAAAGATTCACACTTAATAAGAATGGATCGCGCGGATCGACAACGAAACGACTCCTGGTGCTTTCCCTCTCTTCGCTTTAAATGACGCGGGCACCCTAGGCCCGCGTGTCCGGAACCATGAGCCGAACGAGCACCACTCCGTCATCGCTCTTGGAAACCTGCATCTGATCTATTCTATCATTGTTTCCACATTAAGAAGAAAACAAAGCGATTCATCTAACACCCTGAAAGACGCACACAACTAAGCTACCATTCCACAGTAATTTTATCTCTACTACACAAGGGTTATACCGGCATCGGCCCCTGCGTATATCCAATACAAAATTGAAATACATGCCGATATTTCATTTCCTCTTTTTTCCTCTTCATCCCCCTAATATACTATCTAGCTTTAATAACTATTCTAGCTGCTATCTATATGCGCGGGAGGGAGACGCGTACGTGCCAGATGTCAAGTGCGCCAAAGCCTGTGATCCTCCGATTCGCGACCAGAGACGAACGCAACGCACATGCACATACACAACATACACACACAAACACGCACATACGTAGAGGTGCCGTACATATCCCCAGTGCATACACCCGGAGAAATCAGGAGAGAGAACACGCATGCATACACACACGCATGTACACAGACGTGTGTCCACACCGAGCACAACATGCTCAACGCGGCGTCTCCCCCCTATCCTGAGCCCGTCATGTCGTTGTCGTCATTACATACACAGACACACACACAGACAGGCACGTTACTCGTTCTCCCGCACTACTCCTGCAACATACTTTCCTGAAACTAATTAAACCCATAAATTCACCTTTCTCAACGCCATCACATGCCCATGCCGCCGCCCCGTCACACCCACCGTTCTCTTCCCCCCTCCTTCTCCCTCTCTCTCCCTCTGTCACCTTTTCATCGCCATTGCCGCACAACACTCCATTATTTTCTCGGAGCTCCGAAACCACTAAGAGACCGACACCTGCACTTCACTCAGACACACTCACATGAAAGATATTATTACATCTTCACTCTTCCTTCACTCGCTGCCACAACTTCGCCTCCCAACACTCCAACAGCCGCCGATACTGAAACGGCCTTAGACTGGCCCTTCGCTTCGCACGGCCTCTCGTTATGCCTTCGGAGAGTAACACAACTCCAGGAGGTGTACCACAAACCCAAACCCACACAGACACAAAAAGCAAGCACCATCACCCTCCTCCCCACGGCCCCAAGTTTAGAACGATCTCAACTCATGAATGGCCTGTATATTACATCTCCCCCTCAAGCCCTGAAACCCCTTCTCCGCCGCCGCCGTCCTCTCTTCCTCTCCTTCTTCGCCTTCCTCCACCACCATTACCCCCTCCTCCTCAGCCGCTTCCTCATTCCTCCCATCTTGGCACCAGGCTTGGCACCAGGCTGGTGGCGTTACAACTTCAGGACAACCAAATGACCGCCCAACAGGACTCTGCCCCGCCCGTCCCTCCCAATCCTGGTTAGTTATACATATGCCTTCCTCACTTCTGGCGCATCAGTCTTTCCTTGGCATCAGCTTTACCCGCTCGTGGTTCATAAGGTGAAGCGTCTTCCCTCCCAATCCCCCCTACACGGAGGCCGCCCCATTACCCGCCCCATTACCCCCTTCAGCACTCGTCGCTGTCCTGGTACATGTGCAGCCCCAGGTACAGCAGGTGGTCGGCTATGGAGGTGCACAGACCCAGGTAGCAGGCGGAGTTGTGGCAGGAGGGGTCCTCGCCGCTGGCGTCGCACATCAGCAGCTTGCGCTCCACGCCGCCCGCCCGGGAGGGGTCCTCCACGTCCACCTCCCACACCTCCCGCGCCACGTGCTGGAAGCCCATGAGCTGCAGGGGCACGCTGGGCACGATGTCCCGGTTGTGCGTGAAGCGCCAGGAGATGTCAACAAAGGAGTTGAAAAGCTTCAATCAACAGTGGAAGGGGAAAGGGGGAAGGGGAAAGGGGGGGTATGTGTGTAAAAAGCGAAGAGTCAAATGAAAACGAGAGAGGAGACAGGGGATGCATATAGAAAGAGATAGAAAATAAAAGAAGAGACAGACAGAGAGAAAGAGAGAGGGAGATATGCAAGTAGGAGATGCTCAACAGCTGACATCGCCCAGGAAGAAAGCGTACGGTAAAAAGGAGATATGACAATGAGGAATTAAAAAATACGCTCATTACATGTATCTATGCAAGTAATGGTGGTAACAGATGGCAAGATGGTGGTGGCGGAGGAACAGCTCTTTTCAGTGGCTTTTAAACTTTTCACCATGGTAATTTTTCAGTGACCAAGTGGTTACTGTGGGGGGTTTCCTTTCTAGGTAACCACATTTTACAAAAAATATTCCCCAGCGAGTATGTTGAACAGGAGGCCACTAGAACCATGCATCCGAAGATCCAACTTTGACTCTATGTACGGCAACGTGTTCCCGAGCCGAGCTCAATGAAGCATCACTGCTCCCTTCCAAGCGTCAAAATGTTTTTAGGTGGTGACTACGGGGTTCTGTACGGGGCCCCAATTTCCTGGCGACCACCTGATTATAATACTGGCAGGTGACTCAAAACATTTCCTAGTGACACCACCTTCTGGAAGGGAATTATTTTCTCAGTAACCACTTGGTCACTAGTAACCACTTTAAAAAAACTCGCTCTTTTCCTTTGGAGGCGCGGCGAGTGCTTCGTCCGAAGAAAACAGCGTCTTGCTACACAGTCCGCCAGAGTCTGTTGGTCTCACAGAGCTCCCACACAAACTCCCCCACCCACATGTCCGCCCCTACCTGCTGATACGCCACGTTGCCCACACGTGGCGCGCCGTACGTGTACACTGTCGTATGTGTCGTATTGTATGACAATTTAAACTCCAGGCCCGCCAGCTGCGCCAGGGCGCCCCCCATGGAGTGGCCCGTAGCTACGAGGCGAGCTTTCGGGTGAACCGCCATGAGCTCCGAAACTGCTGCTGTGAACGTCGCCTGAAGTGAGCTGCCAGTCCAAAGCGTGTAAAACCCCGCGTGTATGAACGCGTGGGGAAAGTCCGGTACGGGATACATGTGATCCGTACGCCAGGCCCGCATGTTCTCGGCCCATTGGCCCCAATTAGATGAGTCCGTACCCCGGAACGACAATACGACAGCATCCCAAGGCGCGTAGTACCCTGCATAGGCGGCAAGGTCCCATACGGTGTCGTACACGACGCGGTGGGGGGTGAAGCCGGGTAGGCCCACGCAGCGTGTGCAGTTCCAGGCGGCTAGGAGGTCGGGGTGGCTGCAGTAGGCTATGGAGGCGAGCTGTCCGGCAATGGTAGCCTCGTTGACATCCAAATCGGGCGGCGGAGGGTCAGCGGCGCCGACTACAACTTGTTGTTGTATTAGCTCTGGTACATTTTCCTCGTGTGTTTGCTTCTCGGTGTATTCCTGCAGCAGCCGATTTTGCTGCCCGCGGTTGTAGAAAGCCTGCGTACCGCTTTCGCCAGTTGATGTTGCAAGGCTTGTTGCTTCATGAACGACATGCTCAGCTTTAAGGACTTCTGTGTGGCTGCCGTTCACGCCATTGGATGAAGGTCCAAGTTGCTGTGCTAGGGTGATGCTGGGGCCACGCCCCAGGCGCGGCAGCTTTCGGGCTGCTTGGGATGAAAAGACCGTGGCCAACCCTGGGTCGCGCAGGCGCGAGGCGCGAGAAAGCTCTACATCTCCCAACAACTCAACGGGTGAAAACATTGTGGTAAGGTCAACGCGGCGATATTTGTCGGACCCTAGCGCGAGGCCTCTGTATAGGGTTGATTGCGTTGACAGCACCTCGCGGAACACGTCATCAGCTGCATCGGTGCCGCTTCGCTGCGTCTGAACGCGGGCGATTGGATTGATGCGCAGCGTCACTACTACGTCAAAAAGGAGGAGTAGAAGGCCTCCGAGCACCAACAGGCGAGCAAGCTCGCCCGAGTGAAAACGCCCTGGCATCTTGAGAGGATTATTTGTTGCTATCTGATGATACTGCCAACCTATTGTATAGTCACATGGTACCTCAGAGGGTTTGGCAAGGCTTAACACAGGGAAAACGTTGGCCGAATGACCGCTGACATCAAAGAAACCTCTGTCAAAGCTTTAGCCATATATAATTTGAATTGAAAGTAATTCCGAAAATGCAATTCATAATGTGATGCCGTTGAAAAAGGTCTAACCCACCAGTACGGTCGATGTAACGGTCAGCTGCCCGTACCAGTCACTCAGGCAGCCTGCACCTTGTTCCCTCCCCCGATTGGATAGGGATAGGATGCCTTGTTAGGGGCCAGGTAGCCAAGAACCTCCAGGACGCACCTTGCCAACTTGCCAACTTGCCAAGTTGAACCCTTGTTCTTCCTGTGCTTTACCCTTAAAGATGGGGGCCCTTGTGAAGCAGCTGCCCGCGTTTCCAAAGCACGTATGGTGATGTGGAAGGTGCAGAAGTACGTCGGTGAAATATAATGTGGTAGGACTGGAGAGAATAGTGTAGCAGTATAATGTATTGTGAGTGTAGCTGAAGCTTTCATCGTGGGCGCGTCTCGTTGCAAGCTAAGCAACGCGTATACATGACGTGTAGCATCAGTCCTCAGTTCACTTCTTGTAACGAACATCAGCATAGGTCCAAGCCCTCTCGCTTGGAGGGATATATGCAACAAAACATCCTGATAGGTAAACTCGCATGCTACCGAGCATTCAACCGAGCACATGCATGCTTAGTTGAATGGTGAGATGCGACCCCCCTTCATTTCGTGCTCGGCAAGCCTGCCACCGCGTACCGGATATGTTGGCGATGTTACAGAGACGCTGCACCTTGGTTTCTGTGCGCAATGCATACGATGCTCGACCCCGCCGACCAAAACTACACGTGCCCAACTGAAGACACACCGGTGGTTGTGCAGCAGCTCTTGAGGCTTTGTTGGCTGAAATCCATCCTGAGACGCTGCACCTCGGTACCTGTGCGCAATGCGTACGCTGCTCGCCCGCGCCGACCAAAACTACATGTTCCCATCTGAAGACAATGCCGGTGGTTCTTAAACAGAATTTGAGCTTGCTGCTGGCTCAAGTCCTTCCGTAGTTGCTGCAACACGGCTAACGCAGGCACGGCCGAATGCGCTGCGAAAAGCTGTTCCAAGCCCTCAGCGCATCCATTTA